TATTTATGTATTGTATTTATTATTATTATTATTTATATATATATATATATATATATATATAATATATATATATATATATATACATATACATATTTATATATACATATATATGTAAATGTATATATATTCCGTGTTTTATATTTGTACGATTGTCTTGTTTAATATATTTTGCCTTAGATATCGCCGTTTTTGATGTAATCCACATCTAGTTCGGTCTTCATCTTGTTCCATTTAGCTTATTATGTCAAATTTGTGTTTTTGTATATAAATTTCGGTTCATCTTATGCAGCGCATTTCGCAAGTAGTAGATATACTTTTTGCGACCTGTCTATACTTGGGCTGCTTTGTGACATTTGCATAATATTATGTAAACACTGAACACTGAACACTGAACACTTCAGTTGCACACTGAACACTTCAGTTGCAATGAAACCATCGAATTTGGCCTATTTTAACTACACGAAACCATTTTCTTTTGCATGCCCTCTTTGTTTGCATATCAACCGAGATTTATTTCCTCTTCCTCTGCACAGGCAATCCTCTGCCCCACACACACAGCAAGGAGTGGACTGACGCTACAAAGGAGAAGCTTATCGCACAGAATGCCAATCCTATCTCTGGTATCAGCAGCAAGCAGCAGAAGTAATTGGTAAGTTTCAGCTGTTGTGTATCTATGCAATAGTCGCATTCAACTAGCCAGTTGGGGTTGTCTGCCTCGACCCGTGGGTATATTTTGGTTCCTGGGTTTTCACGATCTGGAATCGTATTGTTAGATGGTTCTTGCAGTGCATGTACGGTTGTTAAGTAGGCTCGCATACAGTTGGAATACGCTTTCAGCGTTTGTACTACACTCGCGCGCTGAATTGCGGTCGTTTGCTCGTAATCCTGATCTACTCGTGCTGTTGATGTGAATAGTCTATTCACTCCGAGTCAGACCAGGTAAGAGGGTTTCTCAATCTGGCTTGGGCTTGGGCTTGGTTAAACTGTTAAACTCTGTTGCATGTTTTTTAATTTCAAAGTCCTGGATTGAATGTTGTGAATGCACAGTTTGGGCCACCAAATGGTGCAACGCATGTCTTTATTTGTCCCCAAGTCGTATACCTTTTTAAGTAGTGCAACAGCTGCGATCGATAGTGTCTTAGCTTATTAGTATTATTGGGTTGCTACTACTGAAACGACACGAATGGCTTACTTACCGTGATGTGCTGCCGCTCCCCACTCTTACAGGCTGTTGTATGGGATTCAACTGAAGCCTTGGGCAAGTCCAATGATACCCCAACATAGTCGGCTAGCACCGGACGTGTCGGGCCCCACATATACAGTTTGAATTATTGTAATACATTCTTTCTTTTCTCGCCGAAGGCAACGAAGTATGTGCTGTGTTCTGGGTGATGAAGACCTCATCATCTCAGTCCATATCGGCGGGAAGGGGATGTGGCTCGTATACGTGAAGCCCCGAGGCGAGCGAGTGTAAGTAACAAATAGCTAAGGAAATAAATGGGAGCTTGGCCGACCAGTTTTTCTGAGTTAATTCAGGACAAGCGTACTTCTTGTTCATCACGTGCAACTGCAATTAATTATAGGGTTCTCGGTTAGGGTGATTAATCATGCACTTGTAATTGCTATGACCTCCGGGGCTGCGAAGCTTTTGAGATAATACCAGTCATCAGCACACGCTTTGCGAATCACAGGCGTACTGAGCGTACCACAGATTATCCCTTGTCGCAGTGATCTGCTCTACTTGTGTGATCTCGCATTTAAATGAGGCCTAGTTGTTGTTGTAACCACCAAATAAACGGATATGTAGGAGTATAGGTGAAATTTATTCATGTATCTCCTATTACAGTAGAGACCGTAGAAGCCAATCAATTATTATTGCGGTAGCACTCTACGTAAGTGAGTAGCCTTTACTTTGGCCGCCATGAATTGACTCACCTTAGATCTGAAGCGCGGCTAGAGTATACGGCGATACACACTTTACTATCATCGAAAAAGATCAATGGGATGGTCCAAATTTGATTCTGTGTTAGGAAACCCTCAATTTATTTTTAGAGTCTGAAGCGATATAATGTTCCAACTTGCACACGGAGGGACACCTTAGTCTCTTTTGCGTATAGGCTCTTTTAATATCAAATTGTAAATTAAATTTACATTATATATCGGCTCTATTCTTAAATTCACGGGGCGCGGATTCTCACCGGGGGGGTTGGGTTGGGTTGGGGTTCGTAGAAGAATGTACACTTTTTCGATACCTTGAAACCACTTATATTCATCGAGTTTCGGGGATGCAGTGTTGTCAACAGTACTGATCATGTCGAAATGTATAGCTCATAGACCAGAAACATTGGTAACGCTATACTGTTTGTGAGGGGACATTCCACCCGCCAAAGCAAGTTTTTGTACATGTGATTGACTCTAATTTTACGACAAATATGCCGATTTTGGTGGTGACAGAACCTAAAAACTTGGAAAATGGATCTTTTTGACCCTAAAGTTTGTGGCCCCAAATTCCAAATAAGGACCGTAGGGATTTTTTCTGGGTGAAGGACGGGGTCACGGGGCCAGATGACTATGCTACACCTACCACCTGTTCACGCCGTCTCGTTGTCTTGACTCCGTCTGATAACTGGAACTTGGTTGCACACGACTAACTTCGCCGTCTAAACTAAATTGACGTTGGGGAAAGCATTCTTCACCCGGTTGTAGTACGTGCTTGTGGGGCAAAGGACCCCTTCATACTCGCTCGCACGCTTTCTTCCAGCGGCATTTGGCACACCACTGTCCATGTGAACGTACGATTGGGGCTCATGAGTAAAACGTAGGTCGTTGGAAACGAACTATATCAAGGACATTCAAAGCTAAAAAATAAATAAATAAAAAGGCTCGCCACCGCCACCTGGCCTGTATACTTCCTATAAAAAAAAAAAAAGGTAAGATATGCGTATAACAACCATATAACAACCTTATATATATATATATCAAATATATATCTACATATTCGGACTGATAGAAGCAACGACGAAAATTGATACAAAAATGCACTTCTATCATATATATAACTATTCATATTCATATATGTATATACATGCACGCATGTATAAACACACACTTGCATGCATGTATAAACACACATGCATGCATGTATAAACACACACTTGCATATATATGCAATTATACATGTGTACTTTCGCACATTTGAATTTAAATAGATACGTATATGTACATAGCGTACACACATTCGAACACGAATTGAAGATTATAGCGTACACACATTCGAACACGAATTGAAGAGTCGTAAAGATTCAAACTTGTATCAAATATTTGAACCTGAAAATAGCTTATTTAGTGAGGACACAGACAGTAAACGGATTTGAAATATACATACATATTGCTTATCATATAACTCGATGAACAAATATTGTAGTCCACAAACACATCAACATTGTACAACTAGCCATGAAGGATATAGATAGCCGTGTATCACATAGTATCACATAACTATTTGCTACTATTGACCAATTTATAGATATACCTGATCTCGTTCGGCTACGCCATAGCGCTTTCGACACTTGATGCCTGCATTAACATCCTCAGGCACCTTGTCAATCCTCGCAAGCGGTAAGCTCGCATTTTTCTCCGTAATCTATATATTTGTATAAACAAGATGGATTTCGCAGAGAAGAACAAGATTATGAGCAAAAAGAAAAAGAGTTGTCAACCCCAAAACTCAGCAAAAATCACAAGTTGATATAGTGTTTCGCTAGAAGCAGAAAAAAAAGGAAAGAAGAAAAGAAGAGACACAAAAGCGCAATTTAGTTGCACCGAATATTTAACTCTATTTAAAGGATGAGCGATAGGACTTCTCCAATCTTAACACTATGTACTCAATGACACTTAATTGAGCCAAAAAACAACAACGACAAAAGGAGCATCCCTCATACTCATACCTTGGTCATGTATCTTCCCACATACTGTGTTATACAGTGCACGGAAGTGATATGCTTCTTCATACCGGCATACGTCCCTAATTCCTTTTGACAAGTCTGATATAAGCAGCTGAACAGCAACAGAACAAGTAATTAAAAAGAGGAAAAATGTCAGCGAGTCGTTAATTAAATTAAACTCTGTCGGATAATATATATATACAAATATGATTGAGGAAATGTATATAAATATTATATGTATGCACATGCATACATATGTTTACATACAATCCTTTACAACTTTGCACCGAATAGGAACGAAAGGCCGCACCCCGCTAAATTCCAGAGTTCCTTCGATAGAAACAGTTCAAAAACACTCAGACACAGAAAGAAATAAAACGCCTCGATTACAGCATTGAACACACCAATATAAAGGTTTGGTGCCATCCAGTTTACTATTCGATCCCTTCGCCGCCAGCGTCAAAGTCGAACTCACTGTACGTCTCTCGGCTATTTGTTTACCGTTCTTAATCATAAGAGGTCTCAGCTTCTGGCCGTTGGCCGAGGTTGGTGAAGCCACGGTGGATGCGGTTGAGGCGCCCTTTTCTTCCTCACTGTTCACTCGGGCAATGCCATTTTCATCAGTCACTGCACCGTCACAGGCTGCAGAGGGGGTATTGAGAATGTTTGGATACACATCAACAGTGTGGTGACAGTAGAGTGAGACTGGCGAGGGAAAGGTCAATAACAATATAGATATATAGAGTATACGATGATAGTCAGACGGGTATCATGAACGATAGATTAAAAAAAAAAGGTTTACATCTGCTGATATGTCATGTTGTTGAGGGACGGACGGTATGCAAACATAAGACGTCGGGGATGTACACTTGTTGTTATACAAATCCCGACTAATCCTAGGGATGGAACGGCTAGAGTGAGTGGTACTTAAAGAGACTAAGTATGCAGGTCCCATGATCCCAAAAGTACATGAGGATATATGCCTGCGGTGCGCTGTCATGCCTGATTCGAAGCACTCGTACGCCATTCGCCACACAAACACACACATTCGGGGTACTTACAGAGATTGGATAGCGTACTCAACACTTCTGCGGCCATCAGTTCCTCAGTTTTGCTGATGGACGAGCTAGTAGCTGTGCTGGCACTCGCAGCCACGGTATTCTCTGTCTTGATCAACACGGTCCCCACGACCCTAAAACGATACAAGCACAAATTTAGGTGTGTGTTATAGTGCTATACGGTATGATTTACTTAGTAAACGGATCCTTCTCAAACGCCCACACAGACGAAACGTATTTGAATTACAACCTACTATCACATGCTCACCTCGTGTTGATGTTATCCACGTCATACTGGGTGGCGTGAAGCCTCGATGTGTTGTGTTGGACTGGATACAAACCAGCATCGTCACCATGCGAGCGTAGTGTCATTGGTCTGTGAGAGGTATAGGATAGGTCAGTGTCCTGCCAGACATACTCAGTTATTTGCGCATCATTGAAAAACAAGCCGGAACAGAATCTGAGCGGATCTTCAAGCAAAATGAGTTTGTAAACAAAAGAGACATGGTGGACGATACTGGAAAGGCGGGTGTAAATCCGAGAGATAGAGATTTGAACTTACCCTGCGGGCCTATCGATGGTAGCAGCAGGTATTGTCCAGTCGACCTGCGATAGTTGTGCGCAAAATAAAACATACTTGGTTTGAATATGAGCGGCTAAGTTACATTACAATATACTTAAGTATACACGCACCGCAAACATATACTATATATATATACATACATATACATAAAAATATCGAAAAATAACGAAATGGGGGCGCCTCTGTAGTCAGCAGAATGCCCATAAACATCTAGGCTGAATAATAAAGGCGAAATATAAAGGAATATAGATGAAGGTTGGAGAATTTAGTGCACCGCAACCCACACACATATATATATGAATATCTTTGTATACATACATACACGCATAGACAAATTATACATATATTTGTACATTTATAGCAAACAGACATGTGTACACTTATCATCATAGGCATACTTCTCTATATACAATTGTAAAACATATATGTATATATTCAAGCATTTACGCATACGGGACAGAATAACAGGAAAAGCGCAGAACAACTACCAGACAGTAATCCTTCATACAATCCAGCTGCGCCAAGTATGATACAACAATAGTATGCAACATGTGTGTATATGCAGACACCTTCATGTCAAGCGTCCAAGTGAATGCGTGCGGATACACACATCAACATAAACGATCCCACACAAGTAACCAAACCCGTGGCGCCATTTCCTCGATTCCAATGGGCTCTTACCACAAGTGTGATAATATGTTTCTCTCGGCGACATCGCTTATTTCTTACGTACCTTTGCCTCCTCCAATGTTTTCGCCGTGGCTTGGACCTCAGTGCGGAACTGACAGCCAGAGTCGCCCCCACTCATCACCATGAAGTCAGTGGTGGCCCCGTTATCCTGCGACCCTCCCACAACGTATACATCACTTCGTGGAACCTACAGATACGAATGTATTATATTTGTAAGCATCGATACAGAAGTAGTCTGTTATCCATAAGTACACAGAAATTTAAGTACAGTACTTGCTACGCGGGGGTAGTATATATCATTTATCGTGCTACAGCCGATGGTTGCTTAAATGTGCTGGCGCGAACTATCACGCCACGAGGTAAATAGCACAGGTATATGAAGTCCACACCGTGTAAATCACGAGCAGATAGCAAACACCATGCAACCAACTATATAAGACAAAACGCCGACACAACAAAGTATACGCAAGTTGCGTGTGTACAAGACACACCTCTACTTCACGGTCATCTGAGAATTTGACGATCACGGCATCAGTGTTGTCACCGCTGGTGGCTTTGGTCACGGAACCCAGATAGAACTGATCATCCTCCCAACGCACACGTACCCTGCCATTCAAGTAGAGTTGAGTAAAAGCGATAACAAGATATCGGAGAAGTCAGATGATAGTAAAATTCGAAATAGCGTAGTACTGAGGCTGTGGACGTGGATACGAAGTACCTGAGCAAATCCCAGAGCTAACATGATACCAATACATACCACTGCCCGACAGTAACCTCTTCCTCCTCAGCCATCATATTCTGTATCATATGTATATTGAAGTGAAGCGCCTGTGTTGTGTTGTAGCAGCAGCAGTAAAGCAGTCGGAGAATGGTAGCAACAAGATCTGGAATCGCACCGGAATTTGGCTGCAGTCTTTTGTGATAATAATATGAGCTATTGAAGCCTACCACTTGGTGGTTGTCATAAGTAAACTGTCGCGTAGTACGTTTGAACTTGTAAACACGTATGACTCAACCTCATCAATCTCGCTTGTTTGCAACAAATGTAGCCGAATTCGCTTAAAATACAGACCTTCTGCGCTCTCCTACGATTATGGGCTTAGGTCTTAGGACTAGGCTGAAGGCAGTAATCGATACCGCTAGGAGAGGTTTACCGGGACCTAGTTTCTTTTTGAAGTGGTTCCATTTTTTTAGTAGCTTCTACCGGCATTATTGTACTATTAGCTATGCTTAGTTCCCGTATATCTTCTAGAAAACGTACTATTCTTGTTTAGGGCTTGTACGTTTTCCCATCGATGGGATACTTATTGCGTATTCATGGGTCTACTTGTTGCCGTACCTGTCGTAAATGTATTCAAGAGTGGAAAGCTCGGTGATGTTTGATGAACCTGTGAGAAAAATATCCCCAATAGTCGACCAAAATCGGTGTTTTGTATTATCGAAAATCGGGTTATTTCCAAATAGCTGATACTGGATAACTGGAAACATAGTGTTAGTAGAATATAAAAGAACGAATTTTACTGTAGGTATGGTTTCAAAAATATTAATTGTCAGAAGCCCATTCGGGGTAAATCAGGACAATCATCATGGTTTTTTTCGGGTTGGAATCGGGAGATGGCCCACAAAACTGAGGGGTTCATCAGGATTTCAATCCAATTTTTTTTTTCCTGTTTGGAATAAAAATAAAATAAATAAATAAATACAACACACCTGCAGCTGCCAGTAACCAGAGCGAACAGAGAGTGGACCACAACTATCATGTGCAAAGAATACAGCACAGCAGTGAGCAGGGCAGTATTTAGCCAGCGGGCCAAAGCCCCAGGCCCCCAGAGGGGGTTCGTATTGCCTCATATTTACTATGATACAGCACATATTATTGCAGTGACAACAATTTTGTTTCTATTTTTATATAAAATATATATATATAATATAAATTCAACATGGCGCGGAGCCGCAGATTTTAGTCACGACTCGCGTCGCAACGACTCGCCCAGTCGCACGCTGGCCGCCTCACGGTCGCATGCCCACAAAAGATTAAAAAAAATCACTCCCAGCAGTCCAGCTGAGTCCAGACTCGGGGACTCCAGCTACAGTACTTAAATAATAACCACTAACCACTGACCAGTCCACTGTGAGTCTGTGACCAGTCGCTTAGGACCCAGAGGACAGTCACAGAGGCCCTCATCAGGGGAGACTCGCAACTTCTCAAGTCGCGTCTCGAAGCTCAAGTTTAGCTTAGACCTCAGACTTCAAAGTTCAGAAGCTCGGTGACTTGTCCACTCTACTAGTAGTAGAGGGTAGTGAATCCAGTCACCAGTTTCTCCCCTACTACTCCTACTAGTAGAGAGTAGAGAGAGCGGGCCCAAGGCTCCAAAGCCCCAGGCCCCAAAGCCCCAAGCCCCATAGCCCCAGGCTCAGGAGTCAGGACGAGAGAGTGACCCCTGGCCAGTCACCACTCACCAGACTTGGTCTAATTTCAACGTTTTTCTCTAGATCTTTTACATTTACCGGTAAAGTATAAATAAAATTACCACGCTATAAATATCACAAAACAACAAATACTATATTTTAATTAGCTATTACAGTTCCAAAAAAGCCCGCCATACAGATTTTGATATTAGCTTGACGAATCATAGTACATTATTTAAGATTCTACTGAACAATATTGATCGGCACTCTGATAGTTAGAAATGAAACCAATCAATTGAAACTAGATAAATAGAACAAGATCCTATTGGATTAAAGGTTGGGCAAAAACTAGTCATCATAAAAACGAGTTCATATAGGAAAATATCATCCCCGACGACCGTAACTTTTTTTTCTAAATGTATTTCACAGAAAAAGTAAAATTACGAAAACGTAAATAGCCACCTCAACAAACAGGGTAAGAAACTTTCAATTATGAAAACGTAGTGATCTGTATGTGCTGTGTTGGAAAAATCTCATCGTGCATATTTTAATAACCACTCCTCATTGCGTTATTTTTAGGCGACATTTAATCGACTTATGTCAGCCAGAAATATTGCGCCAGAAATAATCACATGAACAAGAACTATGTGTTCAATTTAAAAATAGGAGGCTATGCATAACCCGAATGGAACTTGTGGAATCGCATTTAAAAAATATTTATCATTTTAAAAATGCACGTCTTGACAGCAGCGCGATAACGAATATGACTAATAAAAGTAAAGCAGCATATCGCTCCACACATACAGTAGAAAATCAGCTTGAAAATCTAAACAGCGGACTCGAGCCTCAGAAGTCTGAGCGGTTCATCGCACTAATTTACACACTCTCTAGTTGTGTGGTACATACTACATAGCGTAGGACCATATCCGATTTCTTTCATCCGAGTCTTCTAGTCTCTACCAGAGAAAGTAAGGAATGGGATACTAAGCTGTACTGCTTACCTGCGCATACAATAAAATTGCTGCTACGCTAATTGTTGTTGCATTCAAGAGAAAAAGGTAACAAACCGTCAGAAATTTAAAGAACCTCCCTATAAAGCACACAAAATCATTGATGAATATATATATATATATATATATATATATATATATATATATATATATATGTGCATACATACATAGATATACATACATACATACATATACATCCATATATATATATATAAATCTACATATACATGTATATATATATATATATATATATATATACCTTTATATAAATGTATTTACATGTATACACACACACAGAAATATCTACATAAACATATAAATACATATGAATATATATGTATATACATGTATATATATATATATATATACATATATATATATATATATATAGTATATACATACATACATGTATATATATATACACACACATATATACATATTTATATATACATACATACATACATACATATATACATACATATATATATATATATATATATATATATATATATATATATATATATATATATACATATATGTATAAATATATACATATATATATATACTTAGTATATACATACATAGTATATACATACACACACGCACACACACACACATATATATAGAGTATATACATATATATATATATATATATATATATATATATAGAGTATATACACACACACACACATATATATATATATA